ATTAGGAAGTATTAAATATAGAAACTATTTGGAAAGGAATATTATATATTATTATTATTATATTAGGAAAAAAAATGTTTGGTATCTAAGTTTTAGCATTTATGTAGTACAAGATGTATGTAAATAAATTTGAAAAATGCAAGTGCCCAAGAGCAGATATGAGTCACTGTGTATATGTAGAGCTCACCGAATCCACAGTCAGTATTCATAAAGTATCACGGATTTGAAGGCGAGCTATACCTGTTTCACATACTACTTTAAAATATGAAATAATAACTAATAGCATAAAGAATTGTGAGTGTATGATTATAGACAGAGCAACAACTGATAGGAAAAAATTATATATTGGATTGTGTAAATGCTTGTGAATTATTGACTTACCCCATAAAGATAAGACATTTTGTTTGTAAATAACAGCGAAATAATTAAGCGGTGGAGACTATCCTGCTGAAGATAAGCTAGTTTAAGCTGAAGTGCGCTAAGAGTTGACCCTGTGAGTGATATACGTAATCTCGGATATTTTCAATATGTTTCAACTATTATATTTGCTGTATAATTTTAGTAACTGCAAAACAATTATGAATTTCTAGCTTCTCACTCAGTGTAATTATTTGAAGAGATTTATAAGAAGTCGCTTTATTAAAATCAAATGATTTAAAAGCGCAGTTTTAAATGGCAAACATTGTTACAGTGGACAGCAAAGTAATACAGCTTTTCGCAACTTTTCATTAATTTTCGATCCAATTTTTAATCATAATTTCCATCGATCCCTCTTATATAATAGAAATAAATACAATAATAATGTATTTTCGTTAAAGCTTTACCATTCACGATATTAAATATTCACAGTAGCAGAGTTCACGCAGAGTCAAGGATAATTTTTAAGTGGGCTTAAGCAAGCATTAGATGATAATAAAAAAGCAAAGTTATCCGGTGTCGGTAAATCGGTAAGTGTAAATACTAGAATTAATTGTCAGTCTGTATATCAGAGAGTACCTCAGACTCTCAGTGTCTTCCAACAGAAAAAAAAAACTTATGTAAGATTCATTTTGTAAAGTCTCATACTGGACATGAACATGGAAGATACTCAGTGGAGCTTACTTTCGAATTTAATAGAAAGTTTTGAGTAAATGACTGCCCTGATTTAGAGAAAAAGACTTAAACGCCGGAAAATTACAATCGATACAGAAATTTCATGGAAAAATATTTATTGTTTTAAGGAAATTATATTTACTAATGGCGTGAAAATTGAAAAATGAATTTTTTTATAAATTCATCATTTTGTGTAAAAGGATCAAGCTTAACGACAAAGCTGAGAATAGCATTTGATGCAAGTGCAAAATTATCATCGGATGCTTCTCTCAGACATTTTAATGATTGGTCCCAAACCCCAAGATGATCTGATTAATGTTCTTTTCAGATTTAGGCTTCATAGTATTGTGAGAATTGGTGATATTGAGAAATTGTATAGACCAGTTAAAATTGAGCCTAAACATATGCAATTTCAAAATATATTATCAGCCTTATCAATGGTCAAATCAATATGAAACTTTCCCGAGAAACACATTCATCCAAGCATTAGTTTGAACAGGAGGCTTTTAGCCTCAACTTTTGGTCAAAGTTGTCTTTAGCGATCTGATTTGCTTATGAGGCCGTAATAGTTACGATTTTAGGGAACATTCCGCTGGCAAGTCTGCTTTGTGTAGAGAAGGAGGGAAAGGAACCAATCAAAGGTAGGTTCTGTTTCTGTATATTTCTGAGTGGTATTCCTTCGTACTTCTGGAAAAAAAGTGTTTCTCGGAAATGTTTAACGTCAATAGGTCTGAATATAAATTTTAATTTTCCAATCAAACCTTAATGTATTACAGATTTGAGTTAGTATATTATTGTTATTACATCGTAATCATAGCGAAAAAGAGGTAAGAAGCTGTTATTGTAAAGTCTGATACGAAGATTTCAATTTCTTAATTTCTGATTAATTAATTAGTGATTTTATTAATGTTCACAATATTTATGTTGGTTTTTGTCTTGTATTTAATCTTAAGCAACATCAGAAAAGATAAGTCACCAAGCATTGGATGAAACTTTTGTTGATACTACAGAGGGTGTTCTTTTTGTAACAATTTTGCAAAGATTTATATATTTAAACAAACCTTGGTATTTTATTTTGTAATATATTGAGTCTGATAGCCTTTTTGTTGAAATATAATATATCACATCTTGGTTTTGAAGTTAAAAGTCCTTTTCTTAAAACATCAAAGTTGATTTTATTCCACTCCTTCTTCATAATCTTCCAGAGTCCATCCAATGTTTTGGGATGCCACTTATAAAGAGCTTGTTTTAAAAGTCCATATTCACAGTAATCTATAGGAGACACATCAAGCAACTTGGGTAGGATCCATTAAAGTGAATAACTATAATTCCGGTTTCATTTCCCATTTTTTCAAAAACATAGAGTAGTAGATTTAGAGGTATGGCTTGGAGCTTTATTCTGATGGAACTTAACACACTGAAGATTGTTTAAATAAAGAGATGGAATTTGCTCTTTAAAAATACGTGTTAAAACACAGTTCTGATAGTAATCCGAATTAATTTTGACATTTTTTTCTTCTTTCCTTGTTTAGCGTTGTAAGAGAATCCAGTAATAACCATAAAACCTTTAGAAAAACTCTCCTTGTTGTCTCTGAACCAACATACTAAGTCTGTTTCTCCTCTTTTCCGATAGTAAATCTATCTTTTTTTATCAAATAAGTATATCCAGGTCTCATCAATTGTAACTACATATTTCCATTCTTCACCCGCCAAATACACTCATGTCCATAAATTAAGGATAATGCAAAATCAGGCAAAGGAAGAGTTAGAAGCAAAACCAATTTGACTTATTTGTAAAGCTTATTTATTAAACAAAAGGTAAAGAGCAAAAAAAAAATGCTATATGTTTGATATTATTAAAAACTTCGCGATTTTTTCTCCCTCGAACAAATTACAAAAAAACCTATTTACAAAAAACCAATATTACATGGTTGGTATGATTGTTAATACATTGTATGTCTCCCAGACGATGCAATACAGTCCGTACAACGCCTACGTATGCTGAGTATCAAATTATCGATCTGATCTTGGGGGATATTACACCACTCAAAAGAAATGCTCTCCGAAATTCCGGTAGACATGTAGGAGGAGGTTGACGGGCTGCAACTCGTCGGCCAAGCATATCCCATGACGGGCTGCAACTCGTCGCTCTACTGGATTCAAGTCCGGTGAGAATGCTGGCCGGTGATATCCTCCGACTGAAGGCATTCGCTTACGATGTTTGCACGGTGAGGACGGGCGTTGTCATCCATAAACACAAATTGTGTGCCCATGGCGCCCCGAAACAAATGTACATGTTGTTCCAGAATGACGTCCCGATAGATTTGGCTTGTCACATGATTCCAATTTGAACATGAAGGTCAGTTCTGGAACCAGAATAATTCCACCCCAAACGAGCACTCCTGTACACCACCGTAACGGTGTCGTTCAATGATGTTTTTCTTGGTGTGGTAACGGGTACCTGGAGCTCTCCATATGAAAGTCCGGCGAGAATCAGACTGCAAGCTAAACCTGGACTCGTCGGAAAACATCACACAAGCCCACTGTTGCGGTGTCCACAATGGATGCTCTCTACTCCAGGCTAACCGCAGCGCAGTGGCGACAGTGAGTTGCAGTAAGTGGAACGCATCTGACAGGTCTACGAAGCATAATAAACCAATCTGCCCTAAGCGTCTGTACACGGTCTGCCTTGAAATTGTCGTACCAGTGGCTGAAAGAGAGCTGACAGACAGGTCTCAGGCTGTGCTCCGCCTGTTTCTTTTGGCAGTAACTGCCAAATACCGGTCCTCATTCGGCGCTGTAACTCTGGGCGACTTGTGCTGTAACATCTACTCAGATTACCATCATCTTGGAATCGTTGCCAAAGCCTGGAGTTGACACTATGGGCAATTCCAAGTTCGTCTGATACTTCCAGTTGGGTACGCCCAGATTGCAGACGGCCGATAATTCTACCACGTAAACAATCATCCAAATGCGTCCTTTGTGTCATAACTATTCGGTTATTGCACTGAAATGCTTATAAAGCGCCTGCGAACAATTTTACTTCTTTGCCTGTATTCCTTATATATCACTCTCTTACGCTCTCGTCATTGTGACGTACCATCGGTGTCATCTGGTTACTTCCTGAAATTTGCATATGATTATTGAAGATGTGTGTAGTGATTTTACAGGTGATATATTTATTTTAGAGTTCGATTTCCGCGTGACTCCGAATTATCCTTAATTTATGGACATGAGTGTAATTTTCATACAGCAATCTGCATATAGTCTTATGCTGAGAAATATGTTTCGGCGTTAGGCGATGAAAATCATGTTTTTGTTTTGACTAGCTTTGAAGCAGATTTTATAATTTTGTTCACAACTCCTACAGAGATAATTCAAGATTCTGCAATAGGGGCTTTGAGGGGCTAGAGTTTTCCTTTCAAACATGAAATGCGACTTTAGATTTAATAACAGTTGTACGTACCTTTGTTGGATATACATTTTTTGCCCTTTTCCCAGTCAGATGTAAACTTTGACGTCTCTTTAATTTCATATTAATTATGTCACTTATTTTACATTGAGAAATATTAACATCATCATTTTCACATATTTTTTAAATAATTGAATTAGAGTATTTCTCTTCGGACAAGGCAAAAGTATAGTCTTCGATCCATTGTTTATTTTTCAGTGATATTTTAAAGAAAAGAATATTTTAATGCTGCAGACGATAATTAAAGCTTATTCCAATTTGAGGCCAGTCACATTTATATTTAAAAATTAATATTTAAATTCAAGCAGAAAATCAGAATCGTTCCAAAAATGTGCAAATACCTTCTGTATTAGATGTTAGGAACATCACGTAGTTCGAAATTACTTTATATGTCATATCAATATTTGACCTGAATACAGAAAAAAATACTCATATATATTTAGATGACAAATAGTTTAATGAAAGCATGACAAAATATCTACATACAGAAATGTGCATTAATTTAAAAGTGGAAAAGTGCTTTGAAAACATAAATCACATCAAATACATTCCCTTTATACCAGCACAAAATGGTAAGTCCTTTAAAAAAAGTACGATATTTTTTCCAGTCTAGAAAACACTGCGCAAATCTGTTTCAATTGATGAATAGAATGCTTTCCAGTTTTACATTAAGTACCATAATCAGAATCGTAATGGTCAGTAGTTGGGCAGCATTCAAGAATAAAACAGGAGAATTAGAAAATAAATTGTATCGATAATAAGGGTATTTTGAAATTTTGAAACTTTCTAATATTAAATTTTAAGATTAAATTCAAGATGAAATGAAATGTTGCTGAAATCATGCTTTTCTAAACCTTCTAGAAAGCTTTTTGAAACTAGTAAAACTAAACCACGATTGAGTATACTATGTTATCTGCAATAATAATACTGTTAGGTAAAGAATACATTTCATAAATATATAAATATATATATATCAATGATTAATTATTCTCGATATAAAACTGAAGTAATGCAGCAGTAATTGTGAACACATTTTGAGTTGCTCGAATTGCATTTTCTGTCTCGATTTTAAGGCACATTGTTATGAAGCACCTTGATATAAAAGTTCTGTGGTATTAACCAGGGATTTAATCATATTTATTACTTAGAGATATTTCCTACAACTATTATCATACTTTAAATAATTTTCATAACATGTACGAATGTAAAGGAATTAAAAAAAATTGTGTTTGTTTTATACCATGTTACAAATTTTTTACTTTGTGTTGCAATCAAAAATTAAAAAGTGTGCGTTGTGATCCCAACTACTGAGCATTAGTTAGTCCACAAAACATTCGGCAACGTATCATTTGATGTAGATTTATTTTCTTCCTTGGAAGACTGGACTATTTGGTCCGCAATATGACATGAGCTCTTGGATGGTGCAACTTTTCCGACAACATTCATCCACAATGCCTCTGGTATTTCTTGGCACCATATTGATACCGAAAAAGTCCAGTGCTGTCTGTGGTTTCATGAATCCATCGGATTCAGGGAATGAACTGTCCCAGGTGGGAATATTATCTGAAAATGTACGGAACAATTAAACACTCAGATTGACAGTACAATTAAAACAATTCTTTTTTAGTACAAAGGGGCTTTGTCCCTGAGCGACTATTGTTTTTATTTTGCGATTTTGCGTCGAATCATTCTGAATGTCTGCTTCACTTTTCAAACTGTTGCCGCCAAATTTTATCGCACTGTATTATATTTGAAGAAATTAAATAACGAAGAATCTGCATAAATGTATGTATGTTTCTCGCATTGTGATAAAATAACAGTACCTAGAGCCATCTAATTTTTGAATGACGTAATCCTAATGCGAATATGGGCATCTAGAAGCCGAAATTTGAAATTTGGAATTTGTTTTATCATCGATTTCAATTTTTGTAAAACCTTAAAGAATTTTTGATTAACAAATTCAAGGATTTCAAAGCGAACCATGGCAACGTTGTACAGAAAAAAAAATTTATCTCCAACGCGTGACACTGTGTATCGGAAATTCGAAAGATACGCTCAATTTAAAATTATTTTGCAATATTGCTCTTGAACCGAATTTTATGATTTAAGTGCGAAGAACATGATAATTAATAAATAAAGGTTACACACATAATTAAAAAAAAAAACCTTTGGACGTAATTTAAAATCTGAAACTTTTGAGATTTACATTTTTTTTTTTTTTTTTTTTTTTTTTTTTTTATCTGGAAACAAGGTTCATTTGTTATTTTAAAATTACTAGTTTCAAGTGAAAACATCTCGCGGAAAAAAGAATGCCGTAGAATTAAAGAAAGTAGGAAAGTTTGGTTTTTTTATTACGGCAAAGCACTTGAAGGCTATCTGCCTAAGGGTTGGGATGCCTTTGTCGAGGACTTTCTAAGAGAAACTAGCTCGTATTTATGTTAGGTCTTGGGGGAAGATCACGATAACGCCATGCAGTCATTCCGTTCTACGGGATGCAAACCCCAAACTGAAGTACCAGTGTTCAGCAACTTTACCGCTCAGCCACCATGGGCCAGTTCTAAAAGACCTTTGTTGAAAAAAAAAATTAAAAATACGTAGCAGTTTTAAAATATCGTTATATAAAATATTACGGTCAAAAATAAAGAAGAATAATGCATATCATCGCGTGATGCTAACATCGTCGACAATTTGATAATTGATATTAATACAGGTAACCTCATGCAATTACTCGTTGTTCTTTCTCTAAAGTTTTGAATGCTATACTTTTCATGAAAATCTAGTAATATAATTTTATAAAACAGATTGATAAACTACTAATAGCTATTAATTTAATAATTAACGACACTGATTTCAAATTCGATAAATAGTTATAAATAGCTTCAGTTTCTAGACATCTTTAGATTTTGAACTCTTCAGATTCTTTCTTGCTTTTTCAATAAAAATTTATTAGTATATTGAAAATATGAAATACAGAGGTAAAAAAATATTTCACAGTTCTTGCATTCTCAAGGCATTATGCGAACATGCATTTAAAGTATTTAAGACTGAAAAAACATATGATTTGTAAATTGTTGATTTGTAGATGCCTTATTTCCTACCACTTATCTTTTTACAACGACGTTTTAAAATTGAGAATTTTTTTAACTAATTATTTACATGATGATTTTGTTTAGATCTTCGATGTTATTTTCTTGCTTTCTTTTCTCCGGAGATGTTTTCGCCATGCGTTGTTTACTCTGACACATTTCCTTCCGCAATGTTTTCGATAGACAACATGTAATCTTAATTTGTAAAATGCTTTATAGAAACAATTTTAGCTAAATTAAAATACTTTTTTGTTACAAAACTCTTCAGAAAAAAGTTACGTAAAAATGACTTTTATGCAAAATTAATTTTTTAGTATACAGGTGGAAGCATTTATTAAAACAGTGATGACTTTTCATCATCAACAAAATCAATTTAATTAAATGCACGACTAAAATATTTTACAATCGTTTTGTAACCAGCAAATACTATTTACCTGATGAATAAACATAGTTTCGCTTCGTCATCTCTACGTTACTACTTGGGTCATAGTATTCACTCTGGCAGACTGTAGCTAGGGCCTCGACCAACATCTTTCCGCACAATCTAATGCCACTTCTCTTTTGTATGTTATGGTGAGTTGGCAGTGCATGTACTAGCATCACAGTGCAGGCCAAGGCTGCCCAAAGGGATAAGTACTGAAATGAAATAACATTTATTAGTAATCATTTTTGCACTAAAACTATCTGATGTCGGTACTCATACTACACAAGCCCATTTTTTATTTCCGTTATCACATAATGAAATGCAGTTTATTAAATCTTTAGCTGCGATTAGTTTCATTAAGAGCTTAATTTATCCAGTTGCAAAAAGACTAATTTACATCTTTATACTAAGTATTGCCTTATAGGAAGCTACTAGTTTCTTCAGTATTTGACTCGTATTTACTGTTCTTTGGAACACTGAGCGTAGCGAGTTAGATCGCCTTTGTCATATTTAGAATTAGTGTAATAACGTAAAATAAAGGAAATACAATACTGTGTGAACAGGTCGCATGGAAACGCTTATAGTGAGTTTTCAATTGCTCAAATGATTTTGTAGCCATATACAATGGTTATATGTGCATTCTGTAGCACAAGAAAACCAAGTAAAAACAAAATAATGAAAAATATTACTTCCAGTAATGAAACGGTTATAAGGTATTTTCTTCCTCTTTTCCGCATGCCCTTCGTGGTATAAATGGAAGTACGCTCGATGCATATTAGAGATATTTGAATCCTGGCGAGGGCATTGTACATTTTTCACGTCTTCTGACACTGACAAATTCTAAACGAGTTTAGAGTGGCGCCCGAATTATAAAAGGGGGTAAACGGTAATTCGTCACGGTGGACCAACTGTCATGGCAGAATGTGACGATAGGGTCCCCTAATCTCCAGTCGTCCTTTAAAAGAGAGAGTATATAAGGTATTTTCTCCTTTCCTTTCCGAATGCCTTTGTGACGTAAATGCAGGCACGCTCGAAGCGTATTCACGAAGTCCGGAGTTCAATTCCCGTTGAGAGCACTGCCCGTTTTTCGCGTTTCTGCTTAATATAACTTATTTACTCTATGCAGTATTATAAAAATGTTCAGAATAATACATAAAAAAGTCTGAAAGGTTTCAGATTTTCAATTACGTCCAAAGGGGCGGTTGTTTAACATTTTGTGTGTTACATTTATTTACTAAATATCATGTTCTTCGCACTTAAAGTATAAAATTCCGTTCAGCAGCAGTATCGCAAAATAATTTCAAAATCAGAATATTTTTACAGAGCCTCGTGCGCTGGAAGTAAAAATGCTTTTTTTTTTTCCGTATAGTGTTGCCATTGCTCGCTTAGAAATCGTTTAGTTTGTTAATCAAAAATTCGTTGAAGTGTTACAAAATATGAAATCGATAATAAAACAAATTTCAAGTTCAAATTAGGGCTTCCACATGCTCGTATTCTATGGAAGATTACGTTATTCAAATTTTGGTGTCTCTAAATACCGTTGTTTTATCACAGTATTCATTCAGATTCTTCATTATTTAATTTCTTTAAATATAACACAGGGTGATAATATTTGGTGGCAGCGATTTGAAAAGTGAAACAACGCTTATCGTGAATCGAAGCAGTGCCAAAACAAAATTAACAGTTCTTCAGGGAAAACTGCCCCTTTCGACTAATAATCTTAAAATCAACAAGTTATATGCGTACATACATAAATACAAATTAATATAAAAGTTACTTTTTTATTATTACTAAAATCAGTACATCACGGGAAGAAATAGAATTAACTCTTATATCTGCACATAGAAATAGGCTTAACTTTAAAATCTGATGGGATTCAGAAAAGCTAATTGTGTATGCGAAATCAGTAATTCAGTTTATGAAGTTCACTCTTTTCTTTTTTAGTCAGATGATCTTGGATATTGGTTGCTCTGAACAGTTCAGATTAGGCTATTTCGATGCGGCAAAGCAAAAAAAGGGTTAGCTGTCTGAGGGAAGAGATGCATTCATGGAGGACTCTCTAAAGGAAACTGGCTCATATTACCATTACACACGAAGAAAACGACGGAAAACATCTATGAAGCCATCCCATTTGCTTGGTTCAAACCCGGATCAAACAATCAGTTCTCAGTGGTCTTAATCATTTGGCCACTAACGACACCGCAACGTATACAGATATGGTTATTCTCGTTTGATTTAGTTTATTTGATTACGGAAAGCGCTCGAGGGCTATCTGCCTAAAAGGAGAGATGCTTTCGTGGAGAACGTTCTATGGGAAACAGGCTCGTATACACGTTACACATAAGGAAAACCCCCAAAACACCCATGCAGTCAGCCCGTTCGTGGGAATTCAAACTCCCGGACTAAACTACCAGTGTTTGGCGATTTTCCCGCTCGGCAGCTGGTGAGCGGCATAAATGAAAGAGTATGGCGTATAAGATGTATCTCTGCGAAATTATCATTAACATTAAACTGAAAAACGCGTGAACTCGTATTTTCTGTGAACTTGCCATAGACATGACTTGAATTATTTATTGAAATTTATTGAAAGAACTTGAATTAAAACTCGAAGAATATTGCAGTTTAAGTAAAGCTGTCTAAACAATTATAGTTATAACATTCCCAGTAAAATTCAGTTACTAACACTTTTTCTGGTAGTGAAAGATAGTGCGAAAACGGTAAATGATTGCTTAAAATATGTTCTCCGGGGATGTGTGATACACATAAAACACAACAAAGTGATAACTTAAAGTTGTTGCTACTTTCTAAAGAGAAATGAAAATATAATTTCTCATCTTCGCTATCTGGCATCAAAATTTGTATCCTAAAAGATTCGCTGTATTCCCTAGAGTGTTTCGTTACTTTTCCTTTGGTCTGTACAATTGAAGTGGTTTACTTTTCGGCCATATAGCTGCATTAGCGGGATAACAATCGTGCAGTATAAGCATTTACAAGGATGAGGCACTTGCCTCGCTTCTTTAAATTTCCTTTTTGTGAACTGAACTGTTTCATAAAACACAATTTCCAAAGTTTATTACCTCTACAATTACTTGTAAAAGAGAACTATTAGAGGTAAATATTTATATTTGCATCTGATAAATTAGCATTCAAGCTTGAAGCAATTTACTGTTTACGTAACTTATATCTTTGTTCTACAAAACTGCAATGAATTATCGTTTGTACTGAAGTGCTATTTACTACTGCTTTTAACTGGAAGCAACGTTTAGGTTCAAAATCATTCAATTCAGCGTCTTAAAATTTTATTTATCAAAAAACTTTTCTGCTGTGATCTCGAATTAGACGAATAAATGTTATACTAAACAGAAAAAATAAAAAAGAAATTAAAAACTGAAAGTGCTCAGATTTTACATTACGCGCAAAGGAGCGTTTTTCTAACGTTTTGTCTATTACCTTTATTTATTAAATGTCACGTTCTTCGCACTTAAACCATAAAATTCAGTTCAACAGCAATATCGAGAAATAATTTTAAAATGAGAATATCTTTAGAATTTCCGATACACAGTCTCTCGCGCTAAAGATAATTTTTTTTTTTTCATATAGTGTTGCCATTTCTCGCTTTGAAGTCGTTGAGTTTGTTAATCAAAAATTCGTTAAAGTTTTACAAAATATGAAATAGATAATAAAACAAATTCCAGATTCCAAATTTGGGCTTCTAGATGCCCATATTCGGGTGGAGATTCTTCATTATTTAATTTCTTTAAATATAATGCAGAGCTCTAATATTTGGTGGCAACAATTTGGAAAGTGAAGCGACATTTATCGTAAAGCAACGCAAAATGCCAAAACGAAATTAATAGTTCTTCTGGGCAAATTGCCTCATTTGACTAATAATTAAAATGAATTAATTATGTTCGTTGGAGTTAGACATTTCAGCAAAAACTTGAACCTCAGTTGCTTTAATTTGATTGCAAACTTTTGCTATAGGAACTGTGCAAACGATAATTAATAAGTTTATTATATCTTTCAGGTATCATTTTAGAATCTAAATACTAAAATGCTTTTCAATTTTTTGATTTTGTACTCCTTTACTCATTTTGTACTCAAAGATTTTTCGCTGTAGCACAAAATCTGCTCAAAAAAATGAAAGTCGGGTTAGGTTAGGTTATTTGAATTGTGCAAAGTATATATAACAGGGATGTTTGTTTAAGGAATAGATGCTTTCGTAGAGGACGTTTTGGGGAAAACTGGCTCATATCCACGTTACACACGGCAAAAAAAAAAAAAAAAAAAAAAAAAAAAAAAAACAGCAAAACCAATCATGCAGCCAGTCAGTTTGCTTGGGTTCAAACACAGGTAGAGCTATCAGTACGTTCAGCGGTCTTAATCACTCAGCCGTCCGTTGGTGAAGTCAAGAATTGAAGGAGAAAATACGAATCTACATTTTCTACTTTTGCAATGGTTTTTTTAAAAAGAGGCAATAATATTATCGTAGTGCTTTTTTACAACGTAAGCATGAGCAACACATGCGTTTAGAATTCAATTAATATAGAATTATTGCATCCCCCTTGCGTTCCTTCGTGGTGTAAGTAGTAGCACGTTCCGTTTACAGTCAGGAGATACCGGTGAGGCCTTAGGTGAGTTTGAGTCTTTTTCCATTCGCCTTTTATGGAGGAGTATATAAGAAATTACTATATTCTCTTGTGGGTGCTTCTTGGTGTAATATCCGGTTAGTAATTTTGAGTTCAAATCCAGTCAAGAACATAGCTGACGATTTTGGTTGTTGTTACTTATGCTCACTTGTCTGACAGTAATATTAGCCCAAGCCCACGAAATTCCTCGTGGCAAGGAACGCACATGATACGCCTGTCGTTGGCAAAAGCAGTGCGATTTAGCTCAGTTTCGCCCCCTAATTTTGATGGAGAGCACTCCGGGAAGAACGGTTCCGAGGTCCCCTTCCACCAAACTACACGAGAGGACTTTCGGCTCGCCGCATATTTAGAGTGCCGTCATGCCGCACCGACACTATTACATTTACAAACTTCTCCAGGATTCGAACCCGAGCCCTTTGGAACAGCAATCAGCGACGCTAACCACTATACCGGTTGGGGAGCTGATGTTTTTAACTTCTCCTAAGTGAACTAATAACCCTACAGATTTGAATGATTTTCTTTTTCGTCTTTACTTCACAGTGAGGAATGTTTTTTCATAAACG